CGCAGCACTATTTACAACAGCCAAGAAATGGAAGCAACCCAAGTGTCCATCAGTAGATGAATGAATAAAGAAGATGTGGTACATATACACAATGGAATATTATTCAGCCATAAGAAGAAAACAAATCCTACCATTTGCAACAACATGGATGGAGCTAGAGGGTATTATGCTCAGTGAAATAAGCCAGGCGGAGAAAGACAAGTACCAAATGATTTCTCTCATCTGTGGAGTATAAGAACAAAGCAAAAACTGAAGGAACAGAACAGCAGTAGACTCACAGAACCCAAGAATGGACTAACAGTTGCCAAAGGGAAAGGGACTGGGGAGGATGGGTGGTAAGGGAGGGATAGGGGGAAAAGGAGGCATTACAATTAGCACACATAATGTGGGGCTGGGGTACACAGGGAAGGAAGTATAACACAGAGAAGACAAGTAATGATTCTATAGCATCTTACTACACTGATGGACAGTGACTATAATGGGGTATGTATGTGGTAGGGACCTGATAATGCGTGGAATCTAGTAACCACAATGTTGCTCATGTAATTGTATATTAATGATACCAAAATTAAAAAAAAAATTTTTAAGAATGTTTCATATGTTAGGGTACAAATTATATACCTTTATCTTTGCTTTTACAGTCTATTTTTGTCATTATTCATAATTTATTCAGTACTGAGTCACTGGTTGTGAATGCAGTTCTTTGGGGGTAAACTCATCCCATTTCTCATGTCTCCTTGTAGCAGTACTTTCTTAGGAAATTATCTCAGGCCTCTCTCTCACGTGCACTTTACTTTTGGGGAGGACGTTTCTAATTAATTAAATTTAGAAGATGAACTGGGCATGCTTGTCTCAAACCCTTCCCTCTCTTCTCAGAACCTGCCGGTTTGCAAGCAGGTGCTTTCTGCCATACCCTCTCCACCACAGGCAGTCTCTGCCCCTGCTGGGTAGCTATCCTACTCTGGGGAGTCAGTGTCATGCATTGTTGGGGGATATATTAGCAGGTCCATGCTAGCTGTGTGAGACTGGTTGGACAAGCCATAGAACCTCTATCAGTCTGTAAAGTGGGGCTCTATTAGTACTGACTTTATACAGAGCAAAGATATGCACTTAACTTCAGGACCTGCTCAGTGACCGCTGACTAACGTGGCTGTCCCTGCTGCCCTGTACTATCATGAAGGACTGCCTGCATCTCAAATGTTTCTATTTTAAAAATTTCTAAACCAGCAACACAAGAAAAAATACTCTGAGAGAAAAAAAGAAGATAGATAAATGTGTGGAAATCAAAGTAACATGTTAATAATATTTCTTGGCACTTGTATACTATTACAAAGAGTAAAGAAACCCACTCATGATTCCCAAAGTGTGTCACAACAAAATCCAGCAGCTTGTCCGAGATGCTAACAGTCAGTGTTATGGCCGGTGCGATCTCGCCCTCTGGTGACGGAAGAAGGTGATGCTTTGATTTCACAATTGGGTATCTTGACAAAACCATAATCCTGTATTGGGATGAAAAGAAACTAGTGTACCATTTATTGTTGGTGCTACCATATCATGCAGACAGAACAAGGCAAATGCATTAAACAGGAAGTATCACTCCATGCATCCCATGAGGGGCGTTCAGAGCAATAATGTGGCAGAGACGTATGTGGCAGTCTGCTTGATGCTTCACGCATCTCTGCTCTTTAGGATATCTCGCTATGCCACTTGCTCAACTCAATCAACTCTTGTTTTAATAAGTGCTATGGAGATACACAAAAGCCAGAATTAATAATACACAAAATCCACTTCACTTGCATTGCTCTTCTGGCAACATGCGTGCATAAACAATTCCAATACTAATACATTTGGGAATGTACAGTCCTGCCAGCAAGGACACAAAATAAAAGTTTTACAAAATTAGAAATTAAAAACTGTCCAATGAGGATATGAAAACATTTTCCACCTTATTCTAGGTCAAAAAAGTTCTATATGAAAAGGATGAGCAAGCTCAGACCTCAGCTGGCTTCTCTCCCCTGGCTGCATGCCTTCTCTCTCCGATGCCCTCATGGAGTCCTTCCGACAGGACCACTGTACAGTGATGATCCCTGAATTTACACGTCCAGCTTGTCCTGACCCACTCAGCCCTCCAGGTGCCACAACCACCTCTGGACTTCGCCTGACTGTCCAGGGCCACCTCAAACTTAGCATGAGCCTGCTGCTTGCCTGGTCTTTCCTGCCCCATTAAATGGCATCATCTCCTATCAAGTCAGGCAAAAAAAAAACAAACCCCAGATATTGCTCCTGTCACTCCATGGCCCCTGACATCTAGACACCAGTACGTCCTGTCAGCTCTGTTCCAAAACAGGTCCTGAATCTGCCCCCTTCTCTCCATGTCCGCAGTTCCCACTGCCATCTGGCAGGTGCTGCACCTGGCACCTTGTTCCAACTCTTGCTCCTGACAGTGTGTTCTTCAAGGAACAGCCAGAGGGACTTTTAGAAGTGTAACTCAGATCAGATTGCTCCAGTGTTTACAATCGTCCAATGGTTTCCCATCAAAACTGAATTAAATTAGTCCTCGGCATGGGTTATAGGGCCTGCAAGACCCGGTGGCACCCCTGGGCCTCCATCCTCACCAGGGCGGCCCCCTCAGGCCCGAGGCTCAGGCACACACCAAGTTTCAGCCCGCCTCGGGCCTTTCTGCTGGCAGTCCCCCCCCTCTTTCCCCAGCTGGCTCCAGGCCCTTCTCATTCTGAGGTCTTCAGAGAGCCCTTCCTGGCCACCCTGCCCTCAAGGCACTTACCAGTCTCTCCTAAGATAAATGACCTTACTTACTTCTGTGTGGCCATGTTTGGTTTCTGTCTCCCCCCTAGAATGCGAGCTCTGGGAGGATGGCATCCAGCTCAGACATGCTTAGTGCTGTAACCTCACTGAATGAACCTCACTTTGTTATGGAGAAGAACTGAAACTAGCCAGCTAGAGGGAAACCACCCAATTATGGAATACACCCATCGTCAGCATTTCCTCATCCCCCGAGAAGCATCACTGGGGCATATTCACGGGACTGAGGGGTGACAAGATCAACCTCCCACCCCAGGTCTGTGCTGCCGTCTTTCAGGGCTGTGTTCAGGATTAATTCCCAAGGTGCACTCACCCCCAAGTGTGATCCCTTGTGCTTGGACCAAAGTCAGTATAAAAACCCAACTTCTCCCCTAGCCACATGGTTAAGTCATTGTTCCCAATAAAGGGCTTAGAAGCGTCGCTCTCCAAAATTGTTAAGAAATCTGCACCTGTTTAGAAAAGAAAATGCATGTACAGCAGTGCAAATCCAATTAGCAAAACTATTCTTTACCATTTTGCCTTTACTCATAAATAAAAAACAAGGTAATTCCTAATGAGTCACTAAAGTGAAGTGGTTCAAATCTGAGCTTTATAAGCATTGTACCATATTTAGAACATAATTAAAACATTGAGGAAATGTGGGTAAAGATACAAGCATAACTTGTCTAAATTTTTAAATATTGTTAACATCTTACCCAAAATGTCAAAGCTTAATGCCTTTCTCAAATACCCAATATACGTATAGAAAAAATGGAGTGGTGCACAGTAGCAGTTTATACCTGGGCAAACGCCTCCGTGGTATTGGCATCGAAGTGACTTTACTGGCTTTTTCAGACCCTGGCCAGAGGTACCTCAGAGGCCTACAATTAGAGCTAAAGGACTAAGGGCCAAGGAAATTTCTTAGCAGCATTAGAATCATACAGATCCCCCAGGAATCTGGAATAACCAGAACAGTTTGGCCCTTAATGTATCTTGCTCCACTCTTCATGTAGTTGATTGAAGAGCCAAAGATGAAACCCCCAGGGCACAGAAACCGAAAAAAAACACTGGAGCAATCTGATCTGAGTTACACTTCTAAAAGTTCCCCTGGCTGTTCCTTGAAGAACACACTGTCAGGAGCAAGAGTCGGAACAAGGTGCCAGGTGCAGCACCTGCCAGATGGCAGTGTTTAGGATCTTGAAGGCAATTTGCTTCATAAGTGAGAATCACTCTGAACCATTCTGCCTTTAACTGACAGTTATCAGGTCCCCAATAGTGTGTTCCCAAGTGAGAGGACCCACCAGCACGGGCATCTCTAACTGCAGAGGCATGACAAGAATCCCCTACAGATACCCAGTATGAGGCTTTGTTCAGACTCCACTGAATTAATGCTCTCAAACAAGAAGAGATGTGGTTATAGAAGCTTAATCCTCTAGCAGCTGCCCATCAAAGCCTTTTTAAGAAATTAGTTTATGACCCAGCAAATCCTCCCCCATTACTTATGATCTTGCTCAAAGTAACAATTGTAGTTTCTCAAAACCTGTAGCTAATCCCAGTAAGACTTACCTGTTTGATTGAGCAGTTGAGCTGATCTCTCTAGACTAGACCATCCTTCATTATCATAGCCAAACCTGAAAGGCCAGATGGCAACAGAGACCTCTGTGGTTGGTGCCTAAGGAACAGTGTTAATGTTCACTGTTAGAAGTGACTGAACAATGGCAGTTTCAGTGACCCAGTATTCTCCACCTCTCTACTAAAATTCATAGTTCAACAAAGGAATTTCCTTAGACATTTGCTCACATTTAATTCATAAAATTAAGGAGATAATTGTTAGGTAGTATGCTCATAATAAATATATGAACTTCTAACTAAAGCTTGGAAGTTAGGAGGACTGTTTGAGAGTGAACATTTATAAAAAGCACTGTTTATAATGGCAAAAAATGAGAAACAACCTCGCTGTTGTTTCAGTAGTAAAAGCACAAAAATGAATAAATAATTAATGGACTACTACACAGCCCTAATAAATGAGTTAGAGCTACTTAATTCCATATGCATGAATCTCACAAAGATGATATTAAGTGAAAAAGTAAGCTGCAAAATATATATGTCATTTAGATAAAGTTAAAGACATGGAAAAAAACAGTATTGTCTAAGACTATACCATATACAACAACATAAAGAAATGAATGAAAACTATAAACACCATATTAGAATAGGGGTTCCCTTGCACCGAAGAAGAATGAGATCACAGAGGGATACAAAGAGTCCTTTAACAGATTTGTAAAGTGGTCTGCTAACTCTAAGTTGTGGTGTCACTCCCCTACTGTACTGGCAAGGCCAAGGTTCAGGAGCACAGACCCCTTTGAGAGCTCCTCTTTTGGGTCTGTGAGCTCAGCCAGAGAATGCGTTGCTCAAGCCTAACTGTCCATCTCAGACTAATACTTACTGACCTACAACAGGAATCCTGTGAAAAAGTGTGACTGGATTAGAAAAATCCATCACAACTGAGAAACCAACTCAAAGTGGACCATACAAGTTCAGGTTGGGAGAAGGCTGAGTAGCAACCTCTTGGCATGGGAGGGCCACTGTTTAACAAAAACAGGTGAGTGTGCTACCACAGTGGGCTGAGCATCTCATCTTTATACAAGGGAGATTATTCAGTTCAGTGAATGTCATATAAAGAGAATGGAACCGTCAAAAGTTTTCAAGAGACAAGATTATATATTATTCATCAAGCTGTCCCTTTTCATGTAACTGTACACCTATAATTAACTGTGAACTTCATCACTCCAAAATTTGCTATTCCCTCATTCTTCCCACATCAGTAAATGCCATCCCCCTCCATCCAGTTGCTCAAGCCAAAAACAGTGACGTTATCCTTGATTCCTTTCTTCTTTGCATCTAACAACATCTATTCCATCAGGAAATCCTATCAGCTCTACTTTCAAACTATATTATGTCTATCTACTTTACATTCCAAGCCTATCTACTTCTCTTCAACTCCACTGCCACCACACCATCCACACATCCATAGTCTCTCCTGGGCAGCTGAGCCTCATCCTTACCTCCCTGCTCTCACCCTATAATCCATTCTTCACACAACAGCCAAATTGATATGTCATGATTTGTCATGCTCCTGCTTCAAACACAGGTAGCTTCCATGGCAAACAAAGTAAATCAGAACTCTTTACTGTGCTCTGTAAGGCCCTACATGATGTGACCCCCTTGACAACCTCTCCAGCCTCATCTTTTACCACTCTTCCGCTTGTTCACCAAGCTTCAGCCACATCATCCACCCTGATGCTGCTCAACTCCTCACACACACCGAGGCTGTTTTCCTCAGTCCTTTACACATATGCCCTCTGCCTGGCTCCTTAATCCTACCTCTCAAAAACAACTGGCTGTTTCTCAACTTCCAAGACTCAACTCAAATACCACCACCTGGCAGCCTTCTCTAACCACCCAGACCCAGTTGTTACTCTCTACTCCATAATCCTAGTTGCTTCAGATAAGCCTGATCTAAAGTGATAATCTGTATTAATTTGTTCCTCTGAATACCATCTTTCTCCCTTATGAGAATGTAAACTCCATGATGGCAGAGATCATGTCCAACTTGTTGACCTCTATCCCTGGCACCAGCTACCACGGAGACAATCAATAAGAATTTATCAAGTGAATGAATGAATGAATAAACAAAAGGACAAGTACTAAACCCAACTGAAACGACTCCTTTTAAAAAGAATCCCTGGCTAAAATTAGGTGTCCTCTTCTAACTGACATTATGTTGGAATAATAACAACTAGCAATGGGCAAAAGAAATAGACTTATTAAGAAATGGTTAATGAGTTCTGAGTATGTCCCAAGCTCTGTGAGGTGCTGAGAGTACAAAAGCAAACAGGAGAAGCATAGTCTCCATCCTCAGTATAGCTTTTCATGTACTATGAGAAATGTGCCCAGTAATACAGATTGCTAAAATTCAAAGTTGGCCCTCAAATTCTGTTGTAGCCAAAACTGTAATTCTAACTGTAGTATGAAGTACATCAAACTCTATATCGGAGCATACAGAATGCACAACATTGCCACGACTTATTCTTGCTCTTGCCTACTTGTCTAGAGGAGAAAGGGGCAATAAAAACATTTAAAACTATAGATAGCAAGGGGAAAAAGGAAGAGACAACAAAATTTCCACCCATCAATACACAAGCTTCTTATAAAATTCCAAATTGAGAATTATCTATAAGATTTTTCTTAAAGAATTTCATGGTGTTGTCTTCAGCAATATCTACCAAATGGTACAAAGAAGCCCATTAAAAATAGTTGTTTATCTCATAGGTTAGATATGTTAAGTCAAAGAATGACAAAAGTAAACATATGCTACAAAATCACAAGCACTCTGCCTCCAATATATGGGCTTGTCATGTCCCAAGACCCTGACTACATAAAATAATCCCGCTATGTTATGAGCCTGTGACCAAAGGGGTGGGACCCAGGGCCATGAAGTCACTAGTTCCAGGCATAAAGTTCAGCCATAATGGTGAAGTATACAAATGTAGGTATATACACATACACCATATAAAATTCTCTATCATAATGTTTACTTACCCCTTGGCCCAATTTCTTCTCATAGCTTTTATGTCGTAGTCCTAATCCCAATAACCCAACACCAACAAGCAGCCACAAAACTAAACAGAAGAAATCATTGTTTAAAAGAAACTAAATTATTTTTTAATAATTTTTATGAAATTATTAAACCTATCAGCCAAGGATTTTGTGCATTGGGCAAATGTCTAAGGAGTTAAGTCTCATGGGTGACATGCACACATAATTCATATTTTAAACTCAGGTTTCAAACAATCTTCCTTAAAATATTCCATGGACCATGAGCTTAAAGTAAAAATAAATCAGAAATATATGCAAAAAATAATATACATGAAAAACTTCATGAGCAGAAACCAGCAGGAAAAACACCCTGCAGAATCAAACCCATAAAACTTCAGATATTGGAACTTTCAGAATGAAAATATAAAATAGGCATGCCTAATACATTTAGAAAAATAAAAGAAAGTATTCAGTAGGATGAGTAATATGAGATTAAATTAATGATCAGGAGAATATGTAAAGAGATAAAATAGATTTCTAGAAATAAAATTATATAATATTTACAATTAGAAACTCAATGGACAAGATAAATAACAGATTAGACAAAACTGAACAGAGAATTAGTTCAAGAGGTGACTTAAAAACAAAAGTATGAAATATAAAAGAAGTTAAGAGATATGGAGAAGTTCCAACACATATTTAATTGGAGTCAGAAAGGAAGAAGAAAAAGAATGGAAAAGAGGCAATATTTGCAGAAGCAATGCTGACAATTTTCCAGAATTGATAATAGACACAACTCTTCAGATTCAGAAAGTCCAAACACTCACAAGCAAGATGGGGGAGGGGGTAATCCACATCCAGATACATCACCGTGAAACTCCAAAATACCAAAGAGAAATGTTAAGAGCTGCCAGAAAGAAAAAATAGATTATCTTCAAAGGAGCAAAGAATACACTAACAGCAAATACAGAAGGCAGATGACAGGGGAATAACATCTTTAATATGTTAAGAAAAAAACCACCAAGTATTAAAAAAACAGAAATTGAAGATAGAATTTCCAAACTAGAAAGAGGAGTATGGAGAAGGAGAATAAGAAAAAGAGAAAGAAAACTCAACGCAGAAGAAAGAAAAGGAAAAAATAAACCTAGAGAAAGTAGAAAAAGCAAAAATAATGTAAGATAGCAATACACGTGAGAAATCACAACAAAAATAAATTACATTTTAAAGTTAAAAGACAAGATTGACATTCCAGAAAAGGCAAGACAGTGGAGATATTAAAGTAATCACTTTTTAGTAGTTGCCAGGGTTTGGAGGAAGGAGGGAAAGAACAGGTGAAACCCAGGGAAAACTATCATGTATGACGCTATAATGCTGGATACACATCACTGCACATTTGTGAACACTCACAGAACCTACAAGAGTGGACTATAATGTAAGCTATAGACTTTAGTTAATAATGATGTATCAACATAGGCTCATCAATAGTAACAAGGGTACCAAAATAATGTAAGATGTTAATAACAGTGGAAACTGGGTATATGGGAATTCTATACTTGCTGCTTAACTTTTCTGCAAACCCAAAACTGCTCTAAAAAATAAAACTTGTTAGTTTTTTTTAAAGACAAAGATAGTGGTTCCATTGATAGGGGGAGGGAAGGATGAATAGGCAGAGCACAGAGGATTTTTAAGGCAGTGAAACTACTCTGCGTGATACTATAATGGGGAATACACGTCAGTATTCACTTATCGAAACCTACAGACTATATATACCACAAAGAGAAAGCCCTAATGTAAACTATGGGCTTTGGGTGACAGTGATGTGTCAGTGTAGGCTCACTGATTGTGAATGTACTACTCAAGTTGGGGATGCTGATAGTGAGGGAGATTGTGGGGTCAGAGGGAAATCTCTCTACTTTGTGCTCGATTTTACCATAAACCTAAAACAGCTCTAAAACATAAGGTCTATTTTTTAAAAATCACACAAAACTGTCTAAAACAACTTCATAATTTTGTAAATAAACTTTTCCAAATGCCTCAATTCGATGAATGAATTAAAGAATTCTGGTTCTCAGTTGTAATAATAATAACAACAAAAATTGTCAGGATTAAAAACAAACAAAAACTGCCAGCTCCTTGTTTTAGGGACACACCTAAAACATAAGAACACACACAAAAAAAAGTGTATATTTAAAAAATTTGCCCTATATTTTAATATTATCTTTTCAAAATATGATATATATGAAGGTGTTTAAATAATGGCCTTACTACTTTGTGACATTTTAGAAATACACTAAAATTGTAGTCAGCTTAATTGCCTCATATCTCTTTAATTAAAATATTTTGTCCTCTTTAGTAAAGTATCAAGTCATGTAGGGTGGAGACCAATTTTTACATGTCTTTGTACCCTACATAACACTACATAGTGTTTCCTTAATACACTATCTGCAAATGTTATACATTCGATAAATATTTTCATTTAATCCATTTGAAATGAGTCAGATTGAATATTAAACTAATTTCACATCTGAGCTTCTAGTTCATCAATATTCCAAACATTAACATATTTAATCTCCCAAAAAAAGAGAAAAAATGAAATAAACAGTCTCAACTATTAAAATAAAACACACTGAAAATTCTACCAAAGTCATCCACATTAGAAGTAAAACAAAACTTTACACAGAGTATTTAAGGTTGAAATGACATGATACCAGAGATTTGCTTTAAAGCATTTCACTAAAAGCAGTGGGGAAGGTAGCTGTTAACAACATTGGCAGAATGTTAGTAACTGTTGGAAGTGGGTGCAGGGTTCATGAGGAATCATTTATACCCTTTATTTCACACAGGTTTGAAAATGTATATTGATAATAAAGTGCTTTAAAAAAAGCATAACTAAACTTACAAAGTTTCATGCATTTCTCACTCTTTCTGCAAAGCACTTTGGGACTGTTCTTTGTTTGAAGAAGAAAGTCAAGGCTTTTCTTAGGACCAAAGAGCATATTCAGCCCAATAATCAGCATCACTGTCCCTGTTCAAAGAGAAAAAAAGAACATATTTCATTTTAATCCCCAAATCCTTCCAATGGTAAATGCCAGAAGCCTAGATTTCATTTAAATGGACATACCCTGAAAATTCAGTTATTGAATTCATTTATTTCAGTACCAAAGCAATTATTCTAGTAGTATTTCTGATACTGGGATGATCATAAGAAATCACCTAGGTTTCTAGGAATCATGTGTTAAATGCAAAGACCCCAGTCTTTTCCTGATGAGGGGTTTCTTTTAACTTTTGGAGTGTTTCCTATTTGCTACGCTGATAACAATCACATCACTGCTGACTGTGCGGCAGGGCGGAGCACAGGAGAAAGGAGCTTTCTGAACCGCTGTCAGGGCTGTCTTCTCCGTTGAAAAGACCTCACATGCACCAAGTTGCTAGCACAAAAGAATGATATGTAGGTTCTTGACACAGTAGCGTTTGTGGCCTTGATTCTGGCCTGGCTGCCGGCCCTCCCAGAGGGTGCCTGCCAGAACTCACATGGTACCAAGACTGGCAAATAACGTTGAGCTCAACTAGGATGCACTACAACCTAGCTGGCATGTAAAGTTTACATACTTCCAAAGTTACATATCTGAGAATGGACACAGAGGTATGGGGGAACAATATGTAAATCAGGAAATGTCAAGTAAAAGTTGAAAGCTTTGGCAGAAGCCTAGCCAAAAAAAAAATTATGTGCAATTTTCAGGAAATAGGAGGAGAAACCCTAATAAATTATAGCTAACTTCTGATTAATACAGATTATTTTCTATTGTATTAAACACACTTGAAACATTACCAGTGTTCCTTAGTATTTGTGCTTAGCAATATAATGTCACTCTTATTTACTAAAAAAAAAAATTTTAGTTGTATGAAGCGGTAATAAAGCACTTGTTTCTACAGTCCCATCAATAATGAAAAGGAACTAAAAAAAACACATCACTCATAACATTCCAAAGAAATAAACTTATGCTTAGATTTACTCTTACTTTCATTTGTTTTCTCCACATGGCAAACCCCTAAGCAAGCTGGAGTAAGAGAAAAGCAGGGCATTGGACAGGCAGATAGAGCAGGACAGAGTACACCCACCTGAAAGAAACCAGAAGAAAAACAAAATTCACAAAGCCAAGATTATTGCAAAGGAAATGTAGCAACGTACGCTCCTAATGAGATGCACGTGTGGGTGTTTACCAGGAATGTCAAGTTCTCAAAAAGTTGTTTAAAGTATTTTTTGTAATTAAAAAATACCTTCCAAATCAGCCTGTCCTGATAGATGTCTAGCTCATGGAGTAGAAAAGTTTATGTGAAAATGTAGGGAGTAGCTGGATGTAGACCCAGGGCCAAGGGGGAACTGCAAAGAGACACAAGGAGAAGCCTAGACTTCTGCTCAGCACTCACCTGAAACGTAATTCCTTAAGTATTTGCCTATTGCTGTTTTGCCTACTACACTGAAGCTCCAGGTGAGCACGGCCCCTTTGTCTCTTAAGTCTCCAACACCTGACACTGTGCCTGGAATAGCAGGTATGCAATATTTCTTAATAAATAAATGAACCAATGGAAAAATGAATGTGTGAACAAACAAGAACTGAATCCCCTTATCAACATGTTTTGCCTCCTCAATTTTTTAAAGATTTTATCGTGAAAGCATCTAACATGTTTTATTTAAACTAAAAAGACAGGCAACATTTGATTTACATATGTCAGGTGTATTTCAGTAAATTCATTATTGCCAGAAGGCAATTTTTGAAATATTAAATGAAGTTTATGAAATTCTAATTTTGGTATGTAAGTTCATAACCACTGAAATGCAAATATTTAATCAATGAGTTGAGGATTTTTCATTTACACTAAGATTCATATATGCAAAAAAACATATTATTGGTAAAATATGGTAGATAAAAATCATAGATGAAATTCAGGAGAACCAAAATATCACAATTCCTATATATATTTACAAGCCTAACATTATGATCATACTTTTTCCTATCATATATATGTTACAGAGTACTTGTTTTTTAATTTATTGTGGGTTAAACTTGTTTTTTTCACAACTAATTCACTTAAAAGGCCTCGGCAGTTACAAATACTACTGAAACACACTGATGAATTAAAATTTCATTTCAAAGTAGTACCTTCATTTCCACTAGTGGTGGAAAGTGCTAAAGCCTAGTCAGTCCTGAAGGGTATTTTCATGTAGTTACTTTAATCCAAACTTTCCAAATGTACTCACCCAAAAGCACATCCGATCTTTCTCTGGCATAGACGCCTCCTGGGACAAATTTAAAAGCCGTGCACCATGCACAGAAAAATATTTCTAGAAGGTAAAATATCATGGCAGTGGTCATGGTTTTCCCCGGGCTTGACTCTGAACTAATAAGCTGTGCAAGCACTTGAGGCCACATGGATGCTGTGAAGAGGGCAAGTACACAGCCAGAAAGAGCGGCTGCCCAGGTGGGCAGGTAAAGGAGACCTGCAGCCGAAGCTGCTCCTGTTCGTGAAAGAGAGAAAGAAAAAATCAGGAAAGCAGTAACCGTCTCTTTCAGTTTCTAAAAAAAACAAGCTTATAGGATGACCAATTTATAGCTTTTCAAAGCCAGAAGGGACCTCAGGGGCACAGTGGTCCAATCTCCAGACTGATAAGAAACAGGTTCTGGCAAGGTTAATGTGATTTGCTTAAGGTCATACAGCTGGTTACTCGGACAACTGGAGGTGGAATGTTGAGTCTAGTAAATCTCAATCCAGGCCTATTTCTTCAGGAAAGGCAAGGGGAGGGAAGAAGTCATTTTTAGGCTACTTGTGTTAAGATCCTAATAGCAAACACTGAAATTATCTGTAGTACCAAAAGTATGTCTGTTTAATTTTAACCAGCCAGATCCATGACACTAAAAAACATGTGACGTCCGTGTGGTTTCTACATTTTTAAGGAACTTTCTAAGGAATTCCCATCCATTTAAATGCTACCCTTTACTGTATGTAATATGTAAGTTGACTTTCTCAACTACACAGCCCCAAAAGATGGGCTCCCGGCTTTAGCTGTGCAGCAGTCAACTCATTCCCTTCTTGCTTATCCAGCAGCCTAGCAGATTTTGGGGCCTGTGCAATCTGCCTAGTCTACAGCAAGCACTTGGTAAATGTTTGCTAGTTTTTGAGCCAAACTTGAGAGAGAATAACATTTCTCCCAGTTCTTGGGAAATCTGCTTTGAGACAGGACATCAGGGTCCTGCAGCACCCCATGCTGGAGCCATCAATAACCTTTCCATAGAATATGACGCTTTCTAGACATTTCAGTCAATGTTGTGTAATTGTGACTCACCCTTCAAGGATGTCTACGGTACACACCTCACCACTTGGGGCAAGAACTCTGGAGATGTGGGGAGTAGGAAGTGGCTCCTGCCTATTTCTTCAGGAAAGGCAAGGGGAGGGAAGAAGTCATTTTTAGGCTACTTGTGTTAAGATCCTAATAGCAAACACTGAAATTATCTGTAGTACCAAAAGTATGTCTGTTTAATTTTAACCAGCCAGATCCATGACACTAAAAAACATGTGACGTCCGTGTGGTTTCTACATTTTTAAGGAACTTTCTAAAGGAATTCCCATCCATTTAAATGCTACCCTTTACTGTATGTAATATGTAAGTTGACTTTCTCAACTACACAGCCCCAAAAGATGGGCTCCCGGCTTTAGCTGTGCAGCAGTCAACTCATTCCCTTCTTGCTTATCCAGCAGCCTAGCAGATTTTGGGGCCTGTGCAATCTGCCTAGTCTACAGCAAGCACTTGGTAAATGTTTGCTAGTTTTTGAGCCAAACTTGAGAGAGAATAACATTTCTCCCAGTTCTTGGGAAATCTGCTTTGAGACAGGACATCAGGGTCCTGCAGCACCCCATGCTGGAGCCATCAATAACCTTTCCATAGAATATGACGCTTTCTAGACATTTCAGTCAATGTTGTGTAATTGTGACTCACCCTTCAAGGATGTCTACGGTACACACCTCACCACTTGGGGCAAGAACTCTGGAGATGTGGGGAGTAGGAAGTGGCTCCAGCCTCTTCTTACACCCCACGGCTCTGATCATCACTAGGTTCCACTCACACCATCACGGGGCAACACCACAGGATTGTCTATTCCTCCCCACGCCAAAAAGAACATTGCTCAGATGAATGTGAGAATCGGATTCCAGGGCCCTCTACAACCCACAGAGTTCAACTCTACAGTGAGATCTTCAGGTGTTTAGAACTGACAATGGTTATTTTAATAACAGTATTTTTGTCATTTTGAAACAAACAAATGCAATGCCTATTCACTGTAGAAATTCTAAAAATAGAGAACTGCAAAAAAAGCAGTTAAGGGCTGCCTGAGATGAGGATTACAGTCAATACTCCTGTGTACTTCCTGTCTTTTTCTATGACTATACAGAAGTATTTTTACATAAATGGAATCATACCACATATTGAGTATTGTTTTCTGCTTTTTATGTCACAGTGTATCAAGAACATTTTCTCAAGTTATTAGTATTTTTTAGAAAACATTTTTAATGTATATATAATGTTCCACTGGATAAATATACCACAATGTAAGCCACCATTTTCCTATTGTTGGCAATTTATGAAGCCTTCAGCACTATGAGGAATTTCTTTGTCAGTTAATCTCTTACTACATCTCTGATTATTTCCTTAAGATAATTCTTAATAAAGATTCTTAGAAATACAACTACTGGGTCAAGAGGTAAAAGCATTTTAAAGAGTCATTATTTGTGGCCAGCTGCTTTCCTGTGAGGTTACACCAGTCTTCATTTCAAATCTCTGGAAATCTTGCCAAAAATCTCATCTTTTGAGCCCTGCCAAAGCTATTTATTTCTAAAAATCTTTACCAAATGAATGATGAAAATAGTATCACATTTCAAATTTCACTTACATAATAACTAGTGCGAATGAATTTTTCCTGTTCACCAGCTTACGGTGGCTATTTTTTAAAAGAGTGAGTCCTAGTCTGATATTCTACCCCAGACATCAGAATGACTTTGCTGCTTCTGTCTTACTACAAATAATTACCTGGGAGAAAGAAAACATCTCTCCTTCCCTTGACTGTTATTGCTTCCATTTTTAATTGCATGTCTATTGTTAAATAGGCTAGGTATTTTTAAATCCACTGTGGATAAAATGAGAATTCCTGTGGCCAAGATTCTCACCGGGCCATGGTTGACTAGCTCACTGCACACCTGTGGGCAATACATGGCTGTTGACTCTATATAAAGAGCTCCGCCCAGTGCTCTGGGCACAACACAGTGGCAGGGCTGCAAGGCTGCAGGAGAGCAGAGCAGAGGCTGGAGTGGTGGCAGCACTGAGGACAGAGGCCCAGAGGACAGCTGTGCGGGATGACTATGCAGAGAGGCCCAGAGAACGGCTGTGTGGACAGAGGGGCCCAGGTGGCAGCACTGAGGACAGAGGTCCAGAGGACGGCTGTGTGGACAGAGGGGCCCAGAGGCAGAGACTGCTGCATGCAGACTCGTTCTGAGTGAACGGGATTTTCGTGACTGACCTGCCACTGCAAGAATAAAGTTGCATATAACCCTTTCACCCTGAAGAACGTTTTGCTGTCATTTTCTTTGGTCACATTGAATCCATAGCAAACTTGCCCAGGGCTGAAACCCACTGGCAAGACATCCACTTAATTGTATTGTTAAGTAGCTTATAAATTCAAAATCCAAAATTTACTTTCAGCAGAGATTAAACGAGATGGCAGCATGAGAAGTGAGGCAGAAACCTCCTCCCAAAACCACCTACAATACGAAAATACAGCAAATACAACTAATCCTGAAAGTGCCACTGGAAAGAAGACCACAACAGATGGATTACATCTGGAGAAAAGAGAAGACCTCATGGAAAAGGGTAAAGTAGCAAAGCCACAACCCGGTGGAACCCAAGCTCTCCCCCAACCCCAGCTCACCAGCGGGAGGAAGAGAAATGGAGTGGAGAGGGGGTACAAGCCTAGGACTGCTGAACACCCAGCCCTGGAGATCTACTCCAGGAGCACAAAATCTACTTTCAGCAAAATGTAAGAGTCCCTCGGACCCCCATCACCCACTAGTTCTTCTAAGTAAAGGCAGCCAATGTTGGCATTTTCTTCTGCATCCTTCCAGAGAGAGTCTATGCACAGAAATAAATACACATGTGTGTGAATTTCCCTCTTTTCATACACAAGTGGTGGCATGACACATAGTTTGCCTTTCTCACTTAACTGTATACCTTAACTGTTTTCTGTTTGAGACTGAGTCCTTCCAAAGATCTCCCCCAAATCTTTATAACATTGAAAACACCAAGCAAAATTAATGGTATGTGAATATTCCAATAATATTTATAATAACTAGCATGTTATTTTCAACAGATCAAATTTTTCATACAATAAATTGTAGGCACGCTATATAAAGTATACTGGGGTCCTATCAATGTGTTTAGTACATCTGTGACTTTTTAAAATAGAACTTTGATTTTATTAATTGCCACCAATATTTAAAACTCCTTTATCTTTGTGTTCATGAAATTCTATTGGTTGTTGCCATAATTAATTTCATGCCAAGACCCAGTTGAGATCATAAACATACCATGAAAAATTATGATTTCTTTTTCTATACTATGCTTTATGAAGTGGTTTCCAGAAAAGAATCATGGTGAAAAGTGGGCACTATCTCTAGATAATTAAATGTAAGCTTCAACTTACTTCAAACAGAAAGAAAGATGAAACTCATGAATTATGACCCTGTTTTCCTCTGTACTGCAAATAGCCTATTAGAAACTTTAAATATGCCTGCCCCCAGGGTCTTTTAAACTACTTTTTAATACTTCAGAGAGACAGCAAAACTAGCTTAGACTTGACCCTCAAGGTTATGACCCTATTTATCTGGGGAAATGAGTATAAGCATAACACCATAAGTACACAACTTTTCTGTTCTCTAACAGTTTATTTCCGTGGACCTTAGTTTTCAATGTTTAAAATGAAACTGATAATTACCTGCCGAATAAGCATTTTATTTATATTCCATGAGAAAGGTTAAAATAAAAATGCTGGACAAACTTTCAATGTATTACATGTTCCTTTTCCCAGTTTCATACGGATTAAGAAGCTGTATGTGCTCATTGCAAAGTCAGCATTTACAAAGTCATCTCACCCTTCTCTTGAGGATCTCATGAAGCATCTCTCTGATAAGAGAGGTTACTCTTCTATGATACTCACACAAACTTCCACAGACCCAAGATGGAATGTCTGCCAGAAAATACACAAGCAAGGACAAATGGTTCAACATGACTGCAGCAGTGTGCTCACACAGCTCCAGGGGGATGAGAACCTGGTTAACCCCATTAACTGAGCAACTGTTTCGATTACACATACATCTCCCTGCAAGGGTGATGGCCTTTAGGTGCACAGAGCTCTGTCTTCTTTATGATTTATGTATATATTAACATGCACACATAATTATATGTATATGACATAACAGATAAATTTATTATTATTTATATACATTTATTTATTATTATTTACTCAACTACATCTTCTATTACCAATACACATAGTCTCAAACCTTAGCATCTAGTGCAATGCTTGCAATCACCTGCTTAATTAATGCATATAAGGGCATCTCTCCTCACAGAAACCAGAGTATTGGTTCAGTCATAGAGTGGGGGACATTCATTTAACACTAAAATTGAACCTAACCATTTCTGCCTTTTAAGAGGAAGGAAGAAGAGAGGCATAATTTAGGCATAGTAAAAAAATAGTCATAAAAATAGTCATAGTCATAAAAATAAGTAGATGAGAGTCTTCATCAATTTTCCATAATATGAGAGCCTTCATCAATATTCTGTAATTCTAAAGGGTGTGACTGGGAGGAAAGGGTTTAAGCCTTTGAAAAATCAAGCATGGACAAGCTAGGAAGAGGAGAGAGCAGCTAATGTTATGCATAAAAGGGGAAGGGAAACTGAGCTTCCTTATACAGTCCCCCGGAGGGCAGTCCTTAAAGCTGGAGAAGCAGGGGACCTGAGAGAGGGAAGAGGTCCGGTGACATGGTGCCCTCTAGCCCTCCATTGCCTCAGACCTGCAGCTGTACTGTTCCTGACACATATGCCTGCAGACATAACCTGGGCAATGGGGGAGACTGTGGCAGTGCAGTCAGAAGGGGATTAGAGCTGTGGGAAGAGAGGGAAAGAGAAGTAGGAGGAAGCAGGGACCCGGAGCTGGTAGTCACTGGTATAGGCGTGATGACACCCGGGTTAGTGTGGCCACAGCTGGTTGTAACTGTCCATGGGGCAACAGCAAATATTTGTACAGCTGCCTCAGTCACCCATTTCCACTTGAGGAGCACATGCTTGCAAGTACCTTGGACAACTGAGCTGAATGGCTGGTATATCTGTAGGTAAACCCCACACACCTGTAACCCACCACATTAAACTGGTTCCAGGAAACCAGGAACAAGTTGAAAGCATCAATCCGCTTGCCAAGCCCAGCAAAACTGCACCTCTGTAAAAAGAAAAGACAGGCTGTAGGGCATCTGACATTATTATTTAATTGTCCCAAATATAAAACAGAAAAATTTCTCCCACCTCTAGGTACATCCAAGAGATACTGAGTGTGAAATGACCAAGGAAATAATGAGAGTCTACTTGGAACCAGTATCACATATACTCAGAACACTGAAGTAATAGCAACTCTCACTTGAGATAAATGATATCTGAGGTCTTTCATGGCCAATGTAAAACACAGTAATTGAGTTTTCTCAGGCTATTAAATTATAGCCAATATTGGCCATGTCACATTCTTAACGACTCTGCCCAAAATGAAAAGAACCACTCAATGGGAGTAATTTCTGTTTAGTTTGCCTCTTTTCTTTGTTTTCTCTATAAGTAGTTTTTCTCAATACTGCTTTTTTCCATAGTCTGTGCCTTCCTGGGACTGGTGTCAATTTGATAAATAACTGATAGTCTTGTGTTTTTTAAAACAAACCACAGGCTATTTCATTCTTTTGCTACTTTTGCAAAAACTTATAGGAGGAGGGGAAAAGGAATTTAAACTTTAGGGGAAAATCCAGCAACAATAACTGCACCATGGCACTCAATTCAGTAGCAATAATAAAAATTAAGTGAAAAAACGTTGCACTTACTACCTACCAGGCACTGTTTTGAGATGTTTACATATATTAGCTCATTTAAATCTCCTAAGTCTGTAAGAGGAATGTTATTGTCATCCCCATTTTGCAGAGGAGGACACTGGGGAAAACAGCACTTCCTGGGGTCATACACAGTAGCCCAGAAGGACTGAGAATCCAAAAAGACTCTGAAGTGAGGCTCTCGGCTGCTCTCCCGGCCTACCCTACTTCCCCTCCTAAGGTCAAGGACCACCCTGGGTCCTCTGGTCTCCCAGATGTGAGAAAAGGCCATGGAGGACACTGCTAATCTCTTTTGACCCCCAGTTCAATGACACATATTTAGGAAGACCTACCACGTGCCAGGCTCTGTTCTAGGGGCTTGAGATACATCAGTGAACAAGGATCCCTTTCCTCCACAGGCTAACATTCCAGTGGGGGACAGACAATAAACACAATTAACAAATAATGCAGGATATCAGAGGGTGGAAGGTACTGCAGGATAAAAAGAGTAACAGGGTTGGGAGTGCTGCGATGGGCCAATGGGAAACCAGAACACGTGACTAAGTCACACTGTCCCGCCCCCTCAGCCTCCCAGAGCCTATGGTCTGCACGGACCCTTCATTCCCCAAGTCCCTTCAGCACCCTCCGAGCCTCTCCCTCACTTCCTTCTCCATCTCTGATGCCTTTACCCCATCAAAACTTATCTATGACCCATTTTCTCAAGTAGAATCTGGTGAATTTTAGCAAGCAGTTCCTACAATGATGGTCAAAGGTGATGATGGTCTAACGCAACATTTCTCAAACAGGTTCTAAGAAACACCGATTTTACAAGATGTTAATAGGTGTTCTAAAAAAGGAATTCCACGCTCAAATAAGTTGGAGAGACTCCCAGGAGTCTCTAATATGCTAATGTGCACTGCAAATCACAGAGAAAGGAGTATGAAATGCAGCATTCCCTAAACTTGTTTGATCTGGAAGACTTATTTTTTTCTCTCAGAGCACCTTGTATTATCTACAGAATAGAGTTTGGAAAATGCTGGTCTCATGAATTGCATCTCCATCTTCAAATGTTTCATTCCAAGATACAGAATTCTCGAATGCCTAAAGAGAAGAGCCTCATTGCACAGGAGAGAATAACAAGGCCAGGGATGGAACGTGACTGGTCCTGGGTTGAATGCTGAGTTGCTACTGGCCAGCCATGATTCCAGCCCTCAAGCTCAGCTGGTTCCTGGACCAGTTCTCCTTCTGCTCTTCTTTACAACTTATGCTTGTTTTCACAGGAAACTTTGGAAATGAAGCTTTAACACAGAGAATACATTCCTTCTTTCCCTCTCTCTTCACTTCTGCCCTTCTCCCTTCTCTTCCTCCCAAATATGCTAAAGCATCCAAGATCAAAAAGACAGAGACTGAGATAACATATGTAAACTTCCTATATCAGTTCCTGACACAGATTATTAAATATTAGTTCCTTTTCCCATCCCCTGCTCTTAAGGAGCTTAGTGTCTAGAAAGGAAGAAAGACATAAAATAACTAATATTTTAAAAATTTGTAATATAGAATAATACTAAGAGATATAAGCAAGGGGAGGGTAGATTCAAGGTAGTATGCAGCGTAAAGGATCCTTGGGTTAATCAGAGATGACTTCACAGAGGAAATGCTTGAGTTGGGTTTTGAAGGGTGAGTAAGAGCTTGCTGGGACATAAAGGCAGAAGAGGCAGCCAAGACAGAGAGAGGAGCATGTACACGCAGGTGGAGGACTGGAACAGTCAAGCACTTCCAGGGAACTGAAAGTGATTTTAGCCCAGGTGAACCACAGGGATAACATAGGGAACAATTGTAACAATAAGTGGGCGGAGGGGACAGGTCCTATCTCATGTGACCCTGATGGGGGAAAAAACTTGCGCAAAGGTTTTTAGCAAGAGAATGATGGCCTTAGACTGCATTTTAGAGAGCTCATTCTGGGGCAGTGTGGAGAAGGCCATGCTCAGGAGAGACCATCACAAGACAACAGAGAGCCCAGATGAAAGATGAGGCCTCCGCCAAGGCAGACACGGGCGGGGCTAGGTGGAAGGGGAGGGAGTTGAGAGAAGCAGAAGGGACTGGACTTCATGCCAAGTAGATGCAGAAAATGAGAAAAACATAATTCTAGCATGAATCCTGGTTTATGGCTTGGATGATGGGATGGCGAGACAGAGTGAACCAAGACATAGAGAAAGAACATGTTTGAGGACCAGGAACTACTGATCCAGACCTGGAATGCCCAGCTTGGGGCACCTTGAGATATTCACAGGTGCCTACTAAGGAGAGACCCAGCAGGCAGTTGCATGTTTCCAGATGTGAGAATTTCAGCATTTTAAGAGGAAACAGGTATCTGAAGCAGATGCTTTAAAGGTTCCTCCAGTCTTTTTACATGAAAGACCAGATCTGGCCATGGGAGAAAAGAGGCATCAGGAAGAGCAGAGAGAGGGTTAGTGAGGACCAAGCACAGGGACTAAAACTTAAACTCAAGACTGCTAAGTACCTGTGCACCCCATGGCTGGAGTAGGTCCCAAAGTCCCAGAGGATGCAGAGATCTCTCTGGGCCCCCCCTCTGTGGCAGCAGATAGATCTGAGCCAGGACTGCCAGACGGCTCTCTCATCCGGGCACTCTGGTCTCGCCCTGCGGAAGGCCAATAACTATAGGGTGGGGGTGTCTAAAGGAAATGGTGGGGAAATGCCATGGCCCCCCTGATGCCAAAAATGCTCTTCTCTGCAGAGATCCCTTGGAGTGCCCACGCAGGAGTCCACAGAACTTCCTGCTCCGTGTTTCCAACACCCAGGCAGAGCAGAAAGAATAGGAAGCATATGGCTGGCACAGATCCAGCTGTCTAACAAACCACCTGACAACCAGTATCTTGATTGATTGCAAACCTAAACTCACCCAAATGGGTTAGGATCAGGCCCTGGATGAGGATGTCCACTCACTGCCCATCGGGAAACAAGAGAGACCTCTCCAAAAACCCAATGAGTGAGGAAGAGAAGACTGCCAAAGGCAGCCCCTGCCAGCAACCAGCTGGAGCGAGAAGCCGACTCCCTGGCTGCCTCACCAGGCCTTTTTCCCTCAGGTTTACTGCAGTCACCATCTAGAATTTAAAAAAATGGAAAAGGATCAGTTGCATGGAAATTGATCAGTTGCCTCTATATTAAAAGCCTTTTAGCAAGTAAGGAATGGCAATTCAAGGAGTTTACTTTAGAAGGGGAGATGAGACATGTGACTACAATACAAAGCAGAAAGTGCTGAGAGCTAGTCAGTGGGAGACATTATTACAGGCAGGTGAGATCAGGAATGGTTACGGGAGAACAGAGACCATCAGGGAGAAAGGTGAAGAATATGTGCTTCTGAGCGGTGCCTGGCCTTAGCGGTTGGGCTGCCTGAAACAAAGGCCTGACTATGGTCTGTAGAGAGAACATTGTACATCTGCTTTACATCTGAATAGTTCTATGAAATTTCATTGTGCTTGGGTAATGATCAAAGAAACACCCTGTACCATCAATTTACATATGTTCTAACCTGTACAATGTAGCTATTGACATCATGATTTACACATCCTTTGTCAGAAAGCTCTCCTCTCCAGAGCACTTTTCTTCTTCAGAACAACTGTGTCTCTCAGGCAGCTGTCCTAAACCTGGGCTCAAATAAAACTCTAATAATTCCTTTCAGGAGTTTTATTTTAGGATTTTCTCTTCATCAACACATGCTGGAATTTGGCAAGAGAAAATGCATAAAGTTATTTACTTCATGTGAAGTTAACAGTATGAGCAAAAATATTTGTGGGAATAGTAAATGGTCTAGTCAGGGAACAAATGCAGTCCCATGTGAGTGGACCATCTCCAGTACCTCAGGCTGCTTCCCCCACAAAAGAACAGGGGTCTCACCTAACTCTTGGTGCACCCAGAGTAATAACAGCGCATCGCCTGAGCAGGTGCAGCACGCCAAGCCCTGTGCCCAGACCTTTACATGAGCTTACCTAATCCTCACATTTTTATGACATACACTCTACTACTACCCCCATTTTACAGATTAAAAACTGAGGCCCAGAGAAAACAACTAATTTATCCAAGATCATTCACCTAGTAAAAGCAAACTGGCATTGGAGTTCAGGCTTCTGGCTCCAGCAGAGCAAAGACTTCACATATAAAAAACGTAGCAATTGGAGAAAAGCAGCTGGCAAGGGAAGAACATAGAGCCTGTTGGGCAGATGCTTTCTGACACGGTGAAGCCCTCTGCAGGGTGGAAGGAAGCCCCATTTCACTAGGGAGAAAGCCATTCTGCCTAAAAGGAGCTGAAGGCAGGAGAAGCAGAGCTGAAAGCTATGAGAGGATGAAGACAGAAGGGAGGCCAAGGTCTGGAGACTGAGCAGTCTTTGAAGAGAAATACCTAATATAAATAATATGCTATGGTGGGTGACCCCTCCCCCAGGACCCAGCAAATCTTCAGTGAAACTACGAAAACGCTTGGTATGACCAGATAGCCTGGGCGAGATGATGATGAGTCTTCAGTTCTATAAATGGGACATGGCAAAAACAGAAAGGGACCAACAACTGGGTCACATAAATTTAAAACAGAGGTGGAAAAAAAGAAAACTCAGGTGAGGAAGTGTAAACGACACCCTGAAGTTCAGATCCCTATCAGGCTGTCCCTGTGAAATTCACTGCTGGAGTTTCCACCTTTAGATGTGTTTTATAAAATATAAAACATACATTAGGGCCCTAGACCAAGTTCTAAATGTTCTAACTAATATTGATGTAACTTAACATTATCTGCTTGTGTAATGTTTCCTATTCTTACTACCTCTGTTTCACACCAAAACTGGGGCCAAAAAGGGACTGTGTGAGCACTTTGTTCACGATGAGCCAGAGCCTTCTAAACTTCCATTAATGTGTGAGATTTCTCCTTGTATTCACAAAAGAACAGTGACTCACTGAGAGTTACACAAAAGCCAGGAGCAAGTTAATTAGAATCTAGTAACACTTCTCCCCTTTCAGAAGGGTCTCAAGTTAGCTTATGAAGCAAACATCTAAGTTGGGTATGTGTATGTCTGGAGAAAGTCAGCTCCAGAGAGTGACAGGTGCGAATATACAAGATTTCCTTTCTTTGCAAGATTCAGATTTGGAGCTTAAATATCTTCCGACTCCCAGGGAGCCAGTGGGGAAGCAGGGGTGGGTGGAGGGGGTGGGAGTGGGGGACACCCAAGTGGTTTCCACAGCCCTAGTTAACAAATCACTTTCCCTAGTGTTACAGATATAATGGGGTCAGTAAGAAAGAGAGGGTTGAAGGACCCCCTCCTGGAAAGCCCTGGGGAAAGAGGAGAAAGGCAGAGCTGAAAGCCAGATGGGAATATGAGGCCTGGCACTACTCTTGCACTCCACACTGATACAAGCCAGAGACAGCTATGATTTTCACCCTCTGTACTGGCAAGGCAAGGAAAAGGGGCCTTCTCCTTAGAAAAGAATCCTCTAGCTGTGCGGGTTACTATCTCAGAGGGAGAAAAGGTTGGAATAGAGATATAATGCAGAAAGACTATTTTTATCATTTTGAGATGTGTAACATTCAGGCAAGAAAGGTAAACCATGCAAGAGAAAACCTCAAGTAAATTGGGCATACACTTACCTGTGTAAATGCGATCAAGTGTGGCTATGGTACTTAATGTCAGTATCACTCTGTTGGACATCTGATAACTCCAGATTGGGTTTAGTGAAGTGTACCATATGCGAAGAACAAGAAGAAGAATCTGTCCTAAAACAAATCCCCAGATTCTGAGGTACCTGTAAGTACCAATGTATGGTTACCAGCTTTTTATGTGGTTTCAATGTACCATGTCCATCATGAATTTCATAGTTTCATAGAGTCAGGATATGAAATAATCTTGGTAATTTGCAGTAATGTACATGGCTTTGCCTTTACATAGCCTGTTACCTAGGCAACTTGTTATTATGCCTTAATTCTCAAAACACTGTTGAGACTGATAGCAAGTATTCACATCCAGCTTCTGTGAAAAGGAAAAAAAGGAGACTTCTACAAGCCCTATGCAAGGTAAGTACTATAACTTGGAACTCCTGCTCCCAACTTTCCCTTTGGTAACAGATCACACTTGTTTGTCTCTAGGCATAAGATAGGAGCCATACCTTTGCAGACCACTTCCTGTCCACCATGTCACGGCGTGCACTGTCAGCGAGGAAGACGTACCAAGGGCAAGGACCACTAGCCGAAGTCTGGCATTTGGAGCCTGGAAGGAAGCTATGCTGCCTACAAATAAATTCAGGAGAACTAAACATTTCTGTCAATCATTCACTGGTATTCAATGATTTTCATGTAATAACTACTGTGTCTGATACTATCTTTATACTCAGGAAGATAGCATTAATATATAATTATGTGTATATCAATCTTTAAAAAAATTTAATATCTGCATTTAATAACTATTGCATTTCTGATACTACCTTGATGCTCAGGAAGGTAGAGTTAATATATAATTATGTATATATAAATCCATAAAAAATTTTACTGAGGTATCATTCATACCATAAAATTCACCATATCAAATGTACAATGCACTGGTTTTTTAATATATTCACAAACTTGTACATCTATTACCACTATCTAATTCCAGAATATTTTCACCAACCCAAGGGAAAAATCCTTACCCAGTAACAGTCATTCTCCTTGCCTCTTCCCAGCCCCCCACCCCCCAGCTGCTGGCAATTACTAATCTACTTTCAATCTGTATGGATTTTTCCTACTCTTATTTCATATAAACAATCATATAATACATAGCCTTCTGTCACTGGCTTCCTTCACTTAGCATCATGCTTTCAAGGTTCACCCATGTCACAGCATGTATCAGTCCTTCATTCCTTTTTATGGCTGAATGATATTCCATTGCATGGACATACTGCAATTTATTTATCCATTCATTAGTTGATGGGCATTTGGGTTGTTTCTACTTTCTGGCTATTATGAATAATACTGCTATGAACATGTATTCACAAGGTCTTATGTGAACATATGTTTTCATTTTTCTTGGGTATATACCAATGAGTGGAGTTGTTGGATTACATAATAACCCTGTTTAACACTTTGAGGAACTGCCAGACTGTTTTCCAAAGCAGATGCACCCTTTTATACTCCCACCAGCAATGTGTGAAGGTTCTAGTTTCTTCATATCCTTGCCAACACTTGTTATTGTGTAGCTTATCACAGCCACTCTTGTGGGTCAAAATCTTTAACATAGAAAATTCCTAAATTAATAGGAGTATATGAGCTAGTTTAATAGTTAACCATACAGTAATTAACCTAAGATATTTGAGGTGCCAGAGGTGAGACAGCATGAAACACTCAGATTTTCTCTGTAGTTAAGGAAGATGACCTTAGGATTCTTTAAAAACAAAGTTTCATTTACTTAAGAAGCATCTGAAGGGAGTTTTAAGGCAAATCATGGCTTACTTTAGCCTCTTTTTAGCATCAGCAAAGCTCAATGGTTACCTGGAAGAGTATCTGGCAAAATCTGACCTCTTCATTCTCAACTCTGAGACACTTTCCTACCTACTCCACTTCCTCACATATATATAATTCCACCTCTCCTCAAGGCGATGGGTTTTCAAGGAGGAAGATAGTGAAAGGGGAACAGCAAGCATCCCAAACACCATGCACACCCCAAACTTATTTAAATCACATCCCTGAGAGCCACCAGAATTTACTGGGCCAGAACTGGGCTTAACAATTTAAAAAACTGTCCCAGTAATTGCTCAGTCAGTGGCTTTGTACGTAAGGCTGGTGGAGGCAGCACTGAGCAAAGGCAATGAAAAAGTGTCACTAATGGGACCGCTCCCACAGAAGCCAACCAAGGATGGAAATGACATTTGGTGTGATGAGAACATGAAATTCGCAACTGAGGCTATAGCAATTCACAGGAGGATACTGTCAGCCAGTTGGTATATAATCAGTTCAGGGCAGAAAGTTTCACTCCTATCATTTCTGGAACTCAAAATTTCGTAGCCACTCATACATCTTTCTATTCTGTGGACACTGTCTTTGGAAAGGTGCATTTCACAGTGGTCTTGACCACTGTCCTTTCTAAGCCCAAGCTCTTTAAAAGCCAGAGGGGTAGCCACAGATCTCACTGCACACATCCTGTTCTGCCTTCTTAGGCGTTGAACACAGAAAAGCAGAAGACAATTTCCTAGTGATTCCTGTCACTGTGTCTGAAAAAAGTCAAATTAATTTTCCAGACAGAGAAATGTACAGTGCGGTTCATGAACAAATGCCACTTGGAAAACTCAGAGAAAACAACTGTATTTTAGCAGAAGGGGAGACATACAGAGTTTTAGCTACAGATTCAACCAGACTGGAGTCTGATGTTTTTATTTTTTAAGCCTTTTCTCCATGACTCACCCTCTTATACCAGTACTTCTCCAATACTTATTAATATTAATAAACTAGTGAACATTTAAAACTTTTTTAAATTGTTAGTCTGGGGCAACATAACATATTCAAATTCAGAATTCATAAGGTACAAAAGGCACACAGTGCAAAGTTTGCCTTTCATACCATGAAAGCTTGCCTTTCATGTCCAGGTACCATATTCTTCACCCTGGAAGCAACTAAATGCTATCAGTTATTTTTTGTTTAAATCCTTCTAGAGCTAGTTAATGTTTATTCAATTAAATGCTAAATATATTTTTACCTAACTTTTTAATATATTTCAAAAATATGTATTTATATATTCAAATAAATACTAAATATATTTTCACCCAAACTATAACCTATCTAACCTGTTCTAAATAGATGACAGGTTATTTCTAAATCTTCTATAATAAATATTGCTGCAATGATTCAATAAGATGGTTTTTATCATTTTACAAATATGTGAACATATCTGTAGAATATATTCCTAGAAGTGGAATTGCTGAAAGAGTATAGACATATTTGTAATTTTGACAAATAATGCTAAATTATTTTCTGCATAAGTTGAGCCAGCTTACATTCCTACTCAGTGTTTGAGGCCTGCCTTCCCTCCCTTGCAATACATTGTTCTTTGCCAATATACTATGTGAAACTATATATAAATATATGTGCAAATATGTAATTTGTATTCTATACATTTTAGCATATTTTTAGGAATCAATTACATTTCCTTTCCAGTAAACAGATCAGAGCCTTTGCTCCCTTTTAGTTATGTTCTTGATCCCTTTTTTAGAATTTATTTGTAAAAACTCCATTTATTAGTGAAATTAGCCCTTTAAGTAAGAGTTGCAAATATTTTTCCTAATTTATTGTTTGACTTTGTTTGTCATGCATAGTTTTCCTATTTTATGCAGTATCATTTAACATTTTTTTAATGGCTTCTGAGTTTTATGTCCTAAGTTGGAAAAAAGAACACAGGATGTTCAAGTTGACCTGTTCTCCCTTTTCATTTCAGTGATTTTTTTCCAATCTGACAGAAAAGTTAGAAACTTAAAATATATTGGCTCTTGGTCTAGTCTTCTCATTCTACTAAAACTCTTCATGACATAGTAAGAGAAAGAGAAATCTTTTATTTTTCATTAATTATTTGGCATTCAAAGAATAGTCTACATGTCTTCACTTGATTCACTAAAAAAAAAAAAAAATTAAAAAAACACTTTTAAACCTTACCAACAGTAATTATCCGCAGCAGGGACAGCGTCCACTTCTTGTTAACCCATTTCCAGAAAGAAGGGATTGTTAGGAATATTGGAGAAAGAAATGCTATGCTAAAACCTTCAAGCCCAGTGAGTTCTAGTGTTTGCAGAGGAAAGTAATAGATCATCGGTGGCAGGCCATGGCAGAGAGACCAAGAAATATATCCTGGGAAAAACAACAACATTTTTTAAAATAAAGAGAAACTGTAACTCTGACATTGTTGCAAACAGTAGCCCCGCCCCTTCACTACAGCTGCTGGGGCTACCGCCCCTTCACGATTCTGGCCTTACCTGGGTTCCATCAAAGGGTTCCTCTCCCGCCCTTCCCGGCCCAGGATGAGAGTCCCTCAGCATCGCTTGTTTATTCTTTTAACCTTGTTCACAGCCCCATAAACTGTCCCTTTATTGAACCTCTTCATTTGGATCTTCTGGATTGAATCTGGTTTCCTGTCAGGACCCTGGGCTGATAATATTTCCTTACCTAAGTCAACCCTTCTATAGTGAGAAACAAGAAAATCAAGAGGAGCTGACAGAGAGCATGACTCCTTCAACCCACTCCAGACCACATCCGAAGGCAGGTCAGTTAGGCCACAATCATTTTCTTGTGAGCTGACTATTTGAAAATGAACCCTTGGGAGACAGTGCCAGGTAGTGGGATACCCAGATCTGAAGCCAGTTTCACCCCTGCCAACTACCGACTGTGTAATCCTCTACAATAATAACCAACTAATGGGAATTTAGGGCATGATAGGCTCTGTGCTAAATATTTAACGCAGATCATCTCTTATTCTTTATACAACGCATGTCCTATGAAATTGACACTATTTCTACTACCCTCTTACAAATGCAAAAACAAACAACAGATAAAACAATAGAGATTCTGAACATTAAGTGACTGCCTAAGGTCACAAAAATAGCAAATGGTAAAGTGAGCTTAAACCCAAGCAGTCATACTCCAAAGAGAGCCATATACCATAAAGTGCAGTAACTTTCTTCCCAGGTACTTCTCAGCCTCCTTCATCAGCAGAAGAGTACTTTTAACCGCCTCAGAGTTGTAGGATTAAATGAGATTAAGTACACGGAGCATCCAACACCTTAGGTATTTACTGAATGTAATTCGCTTTACATCGCTGTACTGAGCCAAAAAAATTGGCCCTGCTGAGCATTACCAGCATAAGTGAGCAAGTGCTTAGCAAGGCGCCCCCTCCCAGGCCAAAGGAAAACTTGTTTCGTAATGCACAGCGAGATTCTAGTAACCTCTCAAACGTTTGTCTGGGAATTCTGACTTTAATCATAGTATTCTGGCAGAATTACACCAGTAATTGTACTTGGGCCTTTTTGCAGAACTGCTAAATGAGCACACGGGACTCGAGTTCAATGCTTTTTGCCAAATGGCCAAAGGTGTGACCACCACCACGGCCACTTGTTGCCAGGCCGGCACACGCAGCAGCTGCTGCCCTGGGTGCCCACCTACAGCCTCCGGAGGAAACAGGTGCCCCTTTCCTTCTGAAAACTAGTTTAGTACTTAATTTTACTAAGTTAAACTTAAAGATAACAAGTGGGGTCTTGGGGGCGGTTACCAGTTGCGCGGGTTCAAGGCCTACACGTGGAGAAATCGCGCGGCTTGGGCGCAAGCAGGAGGGCGCGGGAGGTCGGGAGGCTCCGCAGCGGCCGCTCCGCATCCTAGGCTTCCTAACTGCAAGGCAGGTCTCTTGCTTTTCCCCCGCCCCCCACCCCGCTTCCGTAGCAAAGTTCCCAGAGGACGCTCAGCATCCTTATTCTGGGCACGGAGCGCGCTGTAGTCCCACCCCAGCTCAGCCGACCGCGAGAGCGCCGCGGCTCCCGGTAGAGCAGGGCGCTGCGGGCCCCGCGAAGGCGCGGCGCGGGCGGCCTCAGCTTACCCAGCAGGGTCTCCAGGAGGATTTCTCTCCACAGCGAGCGCATGGCTGCGACGGGCAGCGGCGATTTCCAGGAACGCCGCGCGGACCGCTCCGCCGCGCACAGCCTGCGCCCCGCCAGCCGCCGCGTCCTCCGCGCCTGGTCTGCGACCCACGTTCCCAAGCGAGGGTGGAGCCGCGGCCCGGCCGCCTCCACCCACCACACCCAGCCCAGCGGGCCCGGCCCACTCTGCCTGGGCGCCCTCCGCCGCCACGGGCGCCCCTCGTCCCCGCGCCGCCCCCGCCGCGAATGCACTCGCAGAGGCCCTGCACTCCGCGGACCCCGCCGTCGGGCAAAACCCAGGTCGCCCGCCGGTCCGCACCGCAGCCCCGGGAATGGAGCGCCACACAGCAAGGCGGAAGCAAGTGCAACTTCGGCCCGCTGCTGCCCTGGTTTGCGTGGCGAGAAGGCTGAGGGGCAAGCGAGAGACCCAGATGGGCAGTGAGCGCGGGAGAGGGCCTGTGAGACGGGCTCTGGCGCTTTGGGCGAGCTGGCAAGAACAGGACCTGGCGTTCCTGGCGTTCTTAAGGCCTGGGCGGTGCTCTGCAGCTGCCCAACTCCTCAGCTTTGGTAGTAAACAAATTGCATTCTGGAAAGGTGATGAAAAAAATTCTAGAGACTACAGTGTGTTCTATGGCTTTTAAAGATGCCGCAACACTTGCTCTGAGGTGAGGGAAACACTGCCGTCTTCAACTTTATGAATAGTGATCTTCGAGAGTGCCCATCCCTAAGAAGAAAGCGAGACGCTCTAATTAACAATGGAGTGAGCCACCTAGGCCAACCAGTTCTTTCTCTCTCAAATACTACCACACCCCAGAAAACCTTGAATTTTTTTAGACCCTTCTCAAAGCAGTTTGTCTTAATATGCAGTAATTTTTTGAAAGAGCTTATACCCAAGGAAACAAATACATACTTTGTGCACATATTCATAGAAACATTATATGGCAAAAAAGTACAAACAACCCAGATGTGCAAAAAAACTGATGAGTGGGTAAAGAAAAGATAGTATATCCATACAATGAAATATTATTTGGCACTCAAAAGGAATGAGGTACTGATAGATGCAACAACGTTGATGAACCTTGACATTATGCTAAGAAGCCAGTCACAAAATAAATGACATACTGCATAATTCCATTCATATGAAATGTCCCAAATAAGCAAATTTATAGTGATCAAGAGTACATTACTGGTTGCTTAGAGCTGGGAGGACAAATGGCAAGGAAAGGGAATTAATGCATCTATTTTTTTTAAGGGGGGGATGAAAATGTTCTAAAAGTAGATTGTGGCAATGGTTGCATGTTTTGAATATATCAAAAACATTGTACTGCACATATTAAATGGGTGAATCACATAATGTGTGGATTTTATCTCAAGAAAGCAGCTTAAAAATGCAACTCCTTCTAGTTATAATTTGTACAAATATTTTGGCTGGGTTCCAATCATTTAGTATCAGCCACTTTTCAGTATGTGAAAGACTTCAGTGACTGAAAACATCAGACACTGTATTTTCCTTCCTATTTGCCTACAGAGGTTTATTTGCCGTGCACCCACTTGAAAAGCATCTAGTTCAGTGCTGTGTCTGCCTAGGAGGTGCTGTATAAAGTTTGTTTCTTTTCAAAGCTAAGTGCTAGGAAGCTTGGCTTCTATTAAGGAGGCAGTGTATTTTCTCTTCCACTCAGAGCTAAATTCTAGCTTCAGTAGACGTTTTTAAGTTTGATCAACTTCAAATTTGAACTAACTTCAAGGAAGTCTGGAAAAATGTAGTCTAGTATGATCCCAGAAAGGAAAGAAACCAAGCTGTGGTTAAGTAAGCAGCTGTCCATCTCTGCTATAAAAACCTGCTTTATACCAAGTGTTGTTTTGAGGTTTAAATAGATCAAGTACCAAGGCACTCAGCACATCCCCCATGGTATTCCCAGTATTTGGTAAATGGTAACTTACATCATTATTTATATATCCCTCATGCTGTTTGGCCTTGTGCTAAGCATCTGGGAGGTAAGTACAAGTTTGGCAATTATGTCAATATTCTCTCTCTCCTGAGATCATTTTAATTGCTTTCTCTAGACTCTCTCAACTTATTCTGACTTTTTTCCAACTGCAGAGACAGAAATGGCATCAGTATGCCAAGGAAGGGATTTCATCAGAGGTTTTTTCCCCTCCCCTTCTACACAGGGATAATAATGTTTCAGTTGGCTTTCAATAATTTTTCTGATTTACCATTTTGTCCCTCCGCGGCACACTGTGGGAAATTTTTTCATGATTCTTGATCCTTTTGTATGTAAGTGTAACTTGAATTTTTGTTCTGATAGCCAGTTAACTATGAAGCCACTTTTAATTTCATTCCCAAATATCATAAGTCAAACAGAATGCTCCTATGAACTTTTAATTACCTTTCTATCCATTGACTTTCATTACTATGTAACTACTGTTCCTGTATAATTTTTACTCATTACATATAGGACATGAGTTACACTATAACTGATAAGAGCATCATTCAGTTTGACCTGCTGTGTGAATGCGTTCATTATAGTAAATTCACTGCTGCTGCATTGACTTTTATATTTACTGTCTGCTAGTTTATTTTGTATTTTAATCAAAACTAATGTATTTACCAGTTTTAAATTAATTTCAAAGACCATAGTCTTTTTTGTTGGAATCTCTTCTTTGACCTCAAATTGCCATTTGCATTCTTTACATGGAAATGAATGAAGCCCATTATGGCATGCCCATGCTTCTTTCTTCCTCCCCTGTTTCTTGGAGCATGAAGACATCCAATTCAGTCCAGAACATATTGAGACCATTTTTCTTTTTATCAGAAGGTAAGAATTTCTACTAGGATATAATATTTCTTATGGCTTACCAGACATCTTCTCGTCTAGCAAAAAACAGAAATATTTTTCTTTGAAAAGCCAACATAAGAAAACCCTTTATGTCACTTCAAGCTCTCAATAATAATCATTAATGTTTTTTAAAAGTATGTGCCCCTTTAAGATAAGCTAAGTTTGTGTTTTATAATGACAGATGTTTATTTCTCATTTGCATCATACATCCATGGTGGGTAGGCTGCAGCGGTGCTCCGCTGTCATGAATCTAAAGGAGCAGTCTGTCCTGCAGGTCTCAACACCACTCATACTCAGCAAATACAGTGGTCAAGCTGAATTCAGTGGGGCAGAATCTATACAGATGAGGCAGGAAGTCTTTTGGAACAACAATGAAATTTATTGCAGCCCTCTTTTTAAGACAAAAATGTATAGTTTTGTTAGTAATTGTAGTAGTTTATCTTTGATTACCTGTTACATTTGGCTAATACATTGAGAATACTTTCTCATGTCAATTATCAATCTTCTGCAGTGTGACCTTTAATGGTTGTATATTATCCCATAGCATGGTTATAGATACCTAACCATTATATTTACCTAGAAATTTACCTATTAAAAAAGGTTATATTTATCTAACCATTCCTTTTGGTGGATATTTATGTTGCTTTGTGTATGATAATATTCAAATAAATAGACTCTGTACCTGGAAAACATGAACACTTTTTCTGTCATATAGTTCATTCAAAAGAGAGAGGTCACATGTCTCCAACAAAATGAAAAAAGTTATAAACTTGTCGTAGAAGCTGATAGTCTTTGGCTTTGTTTTAACCAAAGTCTTCAAGGCACTGGGTTTTGCTTGAGACCATCAGACTTCAACTTGTGGCTATAAAGAAACAGAGGAATACTCTTTGCCTGCCTCTCTCCACTTTGGGCAGCTAAATTTCTTTCCTTGAATGGAAAAGGAAAAAAAGTGGAAGTTCTCTACAGCAGAGAAGGTCAACTAACAAACCTTCCTGCTTGTCTTCCATGGGCCATAGAAAGGAGTTATTGCTGGAAAGGAGCTGCCAGCCAGGGGCTGCATTCCTCAGCCCCCCTGGCATCTCCACGGGGTCTTGGGTGACGAGTGCTCACCAACTGAAGGTGACCGAGTGATGTGTGTCATGCCAGACACAGAGATGAAAAGTTGCAGCCTTTCTCCCCTTCTCTTCTGCTTCTGATAATGAGGCCCCAGGGGAAGGAAAGATGAGCCACAGGAGGAAGGGCACCTAGGTCCTTGAATCACACTGCAAAGGGGAAAGCTAGCCTGCTGGATGACCCTGAAATGGTGTGTGTGATTAAGCCACTGAAATGTTGGAGTTTATTCATTACAGAACTAGCGTTGCTGTAACCACTACACCCACATCCAGTTTTTTTCCCCAAAAAATTAGGGTATAAAAAATTAAAGGAACTGCCTTTGAGCTTGCATCCTGTGCCCCTCCAGGTCAGAAAAGAGATAAAGAGGAATAATCCAGTTACAAAATGTGAGTGTGGTGTTTGAACCAATTTGTCCTCTAGGAATTAAATGCTGCCCCCAGTGAATGTTCTGTTCAATAAACACCATCTCGGGAAATCAGTATCCGCAGGGTTCCAGTCTCCTCAACTCCCAGAGTTCCCAGCTGATACGGACTTCTGTCACTTGAGAACAGATCATCTTGACTACTTCATATTCAAATGAAGTAGTGGCATGTAATCGCAACATTTTCTCATTGTTCCCCAGGGCTGGTTTCCCCTCGGGAAAGGGTGGGGAGTGATGGCTACAGGGTAGGAGGTTTCCTTTAGGGGGTAATGAAAATGTCCCAAAACTGAGGGCAGGAGGACTGCCCAACTCTGCAAGTAGTAAATTCTATGGTGTTTGAGCTGTATCAATACAGCTATAAAAACTACCAGAAGTTGTAGAATTGCCATCTATACATATAAAATGTAACTTTTATATTTGTATAAGAGACTCATATATATACACATATATAACAAGGGACTCTCCTTATATCTGCCTGGAGCCAAGTTAAACTCAGGGTCCTGCAAGAGTAGTGATCAAAACGGTTACTCTCATCCCCACAAAAGACAAGGCAAGCTGTGTTCCTGCAACAGTAGAGCAGGAAGTGTCTGTTCTCAGAGACCAGCAGAAACCACCACTGCAGCCTGGGCCAAGAGGGTTTCTCCACGAGTTCAAAGGGAATCAATCACTTTGGCCCAAGGCAAAGATCTGCTTGAGTGAACATTTTCAATACAGGAAAAAGAGAGTAAGA